GGGTGGAGAACCTTCAGACCGAGTAACACGCTGATCACCTCTGTGCCGTACTTGCCACGATCCACATAGTCGCCAAGAAACAGGTAGCGCGACGCGGGCGGCATTCCCCCGGCTCGGAATATCTCTACGAGATCGTTGATCTGGCCGTGGATGTCCCCACAGACGTTAACTGGGGCCTCAAGTCTCACCATCATCGGTTGCGACATCAGCACTGGCCGCACACGACGCAGAACGGTGCGGATAATATCCTCGTTTAGGAGCTTCTGTGCACCCCGCCAGTCCTGCAGGACGGACGTCACTAATTGCCGGATGGCGGACTTCTCCTCCTCCTCAATGGACGTCTCAAGCCGCGGAACCGGGGCCGCCTCCCGCCGCTCCAGCGTCTTCTCCGCAGACTGAGAGCGGCTGCGCTTGCGGGTAACCACGGCGGACATGACACGCGGATGGACCTTTTCGTTAGTTTATTCTCAAAGTGAGCCGCTACCGTCTCTGCCCGCAGGATGCCGCACACCCGCGTCTGTTGTTGGGGACAAAATTAAAAAGTGTCAGCCCGGCAACCACCCACAAAGAAAAAAACACCTTCCGACTTTCAACAAGAAAAACAACAACAACAACAAAAGAAAAACGCTGGGATAAAAACGCCGCCACCCACGCGCACCGCACTCACGCCAGCGAAGGGTTTGCAACGACCCGACCGAGCGCCAAACAAACAAAAAAAAAAACCGCAGCTCACGCCTCACCTCCCCCACGTCGAAAGGCACCGAGTCTTGCTACTCTACGCCTAGAAACCTACACTATTGTCCCACCCCACCCCCACCGCCACAGCAGAAAAGGGACGGCCGAAAAAGATGCAGAGGGAGAAAAAAAGACAAAGGTGCACAGGAATAAAAACTTTTCCCCCAAGCACAGCGCCCAGCCGCACAAAACAAAAAAAACACAAAAAAAAAAGCTGCATTCTTCTCCCCTCCCTCCCCAGAGACACACATATTTCCCTCCCTCTCAAATCTGGTGGTTTCGTGACCAATTGGTTTTGGCTCAATAACAAAAAAAAAAAAAAAGAGCACGACATCGATCCCGCAGAACGTCTCGACTCTGCTCTTTTACTTTATTTCATTTTCATTTTCTTTATTTATTTATTTCGATTCCTAAAAACAGTGAGGCTCAGATCTTATTCCAGGCAACAATGTCCATGGACTGCACTTCGTCCTCAAACGACATGATCAATTCCTCCAAATCATCACTGGAGACCTTGTCGTCCTCAATGACAATAAGCTGCTGCAGCTTCTTCACGCCGAATGCCACAGGCACCAGCTTGTGATCGCCCCACAGCAGGCCGTCGCGCTTAACGGCGTGCAGCTTATTCGCCAGAGCCTGCAAATCCACGGTGTCATCCCACGGCTTGACGTCGAACAGGATGGAGGATTTGGCGATAACCTCCTTCTTTGCCTTCTTGGCGTCAGCGTCCTTCTTCTTCTTGGCCTCAAGAGCAGCCGTCTCCTCCTCCGTCGCTTCCCCGAAGAGGTCAATGTCTTCGTCTTCATCGGCCTGCTTGGCGGGGGCAGACGCCGCCTTCTTTGGTGTCTGCTTTGCGGGAGCGGAAGCCGAAGTGGTAGCTGTCACCTTCACAGGGGCCCCCCACGCCTTGCGCTCCGCCTCCGTGAAGGATGCCATATGCTTCACCCAACGGTACAAAGATGTGTTTTCGGCGCCCAGCAATTCGTTGAACAGCTTCACGTCCTCTTGGGAAGGCTTTGTGCCGCCCAAAAAAAGCTTGCCCTTCAGCTTGCCCTCCAGCTCACCGCTCCTCTTGTTAACGTCCTTAACAGACATTGGCTTTTTTTTCTGTTACCTTATAGGATAGTTCTTAGCTTGCTGGAAAAAGAACAGGCAAAAATTATTTATTTATTTATTTATTTATTTAAAGAAAAGAAGGCACCAGCACTATGTATACTCAGCGCAGCAAGCTGAAGAAGCATGCATTTAACAGATAAATAAATACCGAAACTGCCAACAGGACCACAAACGCTCAAGAGATGGAGTGCAGACACCATATCTTACAAGCCGCCACCCTACGCATTGTGGCGTGCAATGACAGGGAATGCGTCCATCGTCCTCAAAATAAGTTTGACCTGCTCCAACAGTGCTCCTACTGCCGCGCGTAGTGAACGTTCCTGTGACGCCTCTATTTTGACGTAGACTGTAGACCGTGTGCTATCATCCGCCCAAAGCTGAACCTCCCTTGACGTCCCGGGCACGGGCGGTTCCACGCGCAGCACCTGTATCATGATTTGCGCGGGTTCCGCAGCTCGAAGAGGCAATCGCAGAACACACTCCAGCGGGTCCTGATCTTTTTCCTCAACACGAACCTTCGCGGGCTGCATCCGTCCTTTTGCCTTTCCCTCCTCCTCCTGCTGTTTTGACTTGTTTCCCACAGAGGTTGTCCTTCCACCGAAGTAAACAAGCCCTCCCCTAACCACTACGCATCCCGTTTGTCTCAACACAAAACAAAAAAAAAAAAAGAGGCTATTTATTTCACAACTTAGACGTCCTCTTTTTGCTGCAATAACGTCACCGTCCCCACCGCCAAGCACCCCGCCGGCGCAAAAGGGGGTGTGCACGATGACGACACGCCCATTCAGACAAAAAAAAGAAACCGCCGTACGCCATGCAATAAGCATAAGCCATAGAATGGGAGTATTATGGCAGAAAGAGAGAGAAGATGAGAAGGGAAGAGGAGGCAACAAAATGAGCAACAAGGTACTAACATCCACTCAAAGAGTCCATCCCATCAACAGCCGTACGCAGTGCGGCAATAAGCGCGTCAAGACTCTCAGCATCCAGCTCCATCGTCAAACGGTCATTGGGAAGCAGCATGCGTTCGGCTGGCTGCCCTTCCCCGCCACCTTGCATCTCGGAGGAGGCTGTGGCGAGAAGCTGCAGACGTACTCCTGATACGGGCGACACCAGCGGAGAAATCGAAGCGACCTCGCTGGGAGGCGCCACGCGAGCCACATCCATAGCAAGCTGCAGCAACGGCATGCCTCCACCGCTGTTGCGGGGCTTCGTATCCGCCCCATCTGCTCCCCCCTCCATGCTTACTGTACGAGCCGTCGCGCGGTTCATGGCGGCGGTCGAAAGGCGGTCAGTGGCCAGCACATACGACGCAGTCCAGTCAAAATCAAGAAGAACCGCCTCAGGGGAGATGCCCATCATTCGCCGCCCGATCCAACGACTGTAAAAATAAAAATAAAAAGAAAGAGAATACAAAAAACTTTTCCTGCTTCTTTTTAGTGCCTGCACCACCACCACCCCTGCAGTGTTCACGTATGGATTCCACGCAATTGTGTGCGTGACGCGACCACGTGTCAAAGAAGAACTCCTCCCACCACCCCAATTCCCTTTTGTGTGTGTGTGTGTGCTTGCAGGACCCTAAAGAAAAAATTTATTCCGCCTCCTCCTGGATATCTGTCCCTTTCTTTGGTGTCCGGCCACTACACCCAACACACAGCCGCTACCGCACAAAAGAGAATGAAAGAGAAAGAGAAGGCAATGCATGATGTCACTTGCCACTTTACCCAGACAAAACACCACATCCCGCGCAACACAAACATTGGTGCTTACACAACGACATTTTATACTTTGTCTGTTTGTTTTTCTTAAATGTTGCCTTGTGAATCCTCACTTTTGTGGAGAAAACAATTGTTATGTGAGGGCCCCACCAGACGTCAAACGCAAGTGCAAAATCACGAGGGTAAGAGTGGGGTGCGTTGGGAGTCAAAAAAAAAAAAAAAAAAAGGGTGGTGTTAGGGGAAAGGGGAGGGGGGAAGGGAAAGGGAAAGGGGTGAGAAACCACACTGAGAAGCAAAGCACATAAACATATATAAATATAAATATATAAACAAGAGTACAAAAAAAAAAAAAAAAAAGACAAGAGGAATAACAGTGAGAGAAGAAAATACATCAATAACTTTTGTTTGTTTGTTTTTTATTGTTGTTATTTTTTTAACCTCCTCTTCATCTCTCCATCCATCCATCCATCCATCCCTCTCTCACTCCGTCTGCAGCTTGTGTTGTTGAGCCGTCCTGCTGCCCATGCCCACCGTCCCACGACCCCACTCGCTTGCTGGCCCACACACCTCCGGAAACATGCGCAATGGACACTCGCCGTGCGTGGTGAATTGTGCAGCGGCACTTAGACACGCACACAAACGCGCCCGTTACAAGTGTTCATACATCGCGGTTTGTACTCACGCAACAACACCGCCGCCACACCAACGAAATGAATGAAGAAAGAAAAGTGCGGCACACAAAAAAAAAAAGCAAAAGAAAAAAAAAGATGAAAGTAAAACCAAAAAAAAAAAAAGTCAAGAAGCGAATTTCCGTGCAGGGAAGCCCCAGGCGGGTAGGGGGAGAGAAGGGGCAGCAGGCGTAGACACCACCACCACCATCTCCCACGAGGATCCCTCACAGCCGCGAAGCAAAACGGCACTGGAAAAACACGCCACCCTATCAAAAGAAACATAAAACATATCAAATCAATAAGAAAGCAAATAAAGCAGGAAACGATGAAAAAAAAAAAAAAAGAGAACTAACGAATATTCCAGCGGCGGCGGGGAAGGCGGGGGAGAGGGAAGGGATCACTTTTTGAAGCAGCGGTGGCGCCGTACAAACCACAACTGCTTTGAAGCAAGCGCCCTTTCCTCCCCACCCCTCCTATCCGCAGCATCTCTGCAATACATACATACATACACACATATAGATAGATAGATAGATAGATAGATAATAAATGCATATATGTAGGTTTATAAACAATTATTTGCCCGCCCGCCTCCCCGCCCCCCTTTCCTTCTTCCCTTCATTACACACATCATACGCCAATGTATATTTGTCTCTTTTCCCTCCTCTTTCTTCTTCTTTTTTTTTTTTTTGTTCGTTTGACACCCTCCCTCTTCCTTCCCCACACCCCCGCTCGCATCGTCCCCTCGCTCCATCACATTTCCTTCATAACTTTTGCATCACCAGCCACGCCCCAATTACCCGTGACTGTAAGAGAAAGGGAGCCCCAATGGTGAAAGACACAAACAAAAAGAAAAATGAAAGAACAAAAACAAAATGAACAAAGAAAAAAAAAAAAAGGACAGCAGGAAAAATAAAACAAAACTAAGGGTGTAAGAATCCTCTTAAAGGCTCGGCAACACATGCACCTCCCAGACGTATTTGTATAGTTACAATGTATACATATGTGTGTGTGTGTGTGTGTGTTTGTTTTTCTTTTTGTGTGTTTCTGGTTATTGCCAGGTCTTGCACACTCTCCCTGCTCTGCACAATATAAATCAGCAGTGACCAGCCACGCAAGCACAGCGTTTGGCATGCGCCGTCTTCTTTTTCTTTTCTTTTCTTTTCTTTTCTTTTTTTTTTTTTTTTATTTGTTTGTTTGTTTTTTTTATTGTACATTAAACCATAGGGGCAAAAAGTCGCGGGATGACGCAGAAGTGATCGAGCAAGAAAAAAAAGAAAAATCAAAGAGCACACACTCACGCGCCAAAAAAAGAAAAAAAAAAAAAAAAGGCGGCTAAAATGCGAAATAAAAACGTGCAGAATTGC